TAATTAAAATAATTAAAATATAGATGTTACATTTCAGTACATGGACATAGACTTTAAATATTTGAATTGCGTATAAATAATTGTTTTGTCGCGTTCAATAGCGTTCGATGACCGTTTAATAGTGGTTTACATATTATAATAATACGTTCATATTAAAATACTCCATTATTTTATTTAAAAGACTTTTAGATAATTGTCCGGGGGAGCATGCTAACTTTTGTTTTCTTATCAAGTGTAGAAGGTAAGCGTTCTTTGTAAGTGATACATCCCCTACTTTAAAATATTTAATCGAGACAATGTCTATCCCGTTGTGTCCGTCACAAAGTGTTTGACAGCGAATAAAGAACAGCGTGTGACAAGAAGTTTTTAAGTTTTGTAAAGAGAAGTATTAAACTATTTAAACATGTCTGAAAATTGTACTTGCACATACATATATGTTATGCTGCCATATCCTTCTCGCACCGCCTTACGAACGTCGTATCATCCACGTGCATGCTTTGCGCTATCTCTCTCTCTCTCCCAAGTGCATGCTTCGCGCTATTTCTCTCTCTCCCAAGTGCATGCTTTGCGCTATCTCTCTCTCCCAAGTGCATGCCTCGCGCCATCTCTCTCCAACGTGCATGCGGACGCTATCCTTCTTCCACACATTACGAACGCCTCGCGCCATCTCTCTCCAACGTGCATGCAAACGCTATCCTTGTCTTACTCTCATATGGACACCTCGCGCTATCCTTCTTCCACACTCATAGAATATCATTAGCGCTATCCTTTTTTTACACATTGCGAACGCCTTGCGCTATCTCTCTCACACCTACTCGCGGCACCGTACCTTCGCGTTCCCTCTTCCCCGCGGACCCTCGCCTATCGGTTTCGCCGCGGTTCCCCTCTTCCCCGCGGACCCCTCGCCTTTCGGTTAGGACGCGTTCCCCCTCCTCCTCGCCGCGGGACTTTCGCCCACCGGTTAGGACGCGATTCCCCCTCCCTCCTCTGCGCGGGCCCCTTGCTCACCGGTTTTGCCGCGGTCCCCCTCCCCCTCTCCGCGGACTCCTCGCCTACCGGTTAGGACGCGGTCGAACTCCTTGCCTATTTTTTAGGTTAGGTTAGGTTAGGTTAGGTTAGGTTAGGTTAGGTTAGGACGCGATTCCCGCGTGACGTCATACCCCCCGCGCTGGTTTCTGCTCGCCCCTCACCCTCCCTCAGAGGACCTGGGTTAGAACCGGCCTAGCTATACTACTTAGAATGACTAAAAATACAGAAACATTCATTTGATGAAGCAAAAAAATTATCTATTTTCTATGTTTTCACTGTTTGTGTGTGTGCGTCTGTGCGCATTAAGAAAAAAAGCAAACGTCCAGAAACATTGCACACGAGAGTATGCGCACGCACACACATACATACAGCATACAACATATCATAAGTTGCTTTCCATTTACATCAAAACTCAGGTAATTCTCACTTGCGTTCTCTCGCACAATAATTGTTTAAAAAAATACATTATAAATAATTACATACTTTTTCTTAAAAACAATTATTTTTTTTTTACTAATTGATTTGTCTCATTATTCTGTTCATAAAAGTATTACGGTAAGATTATTGAAAACTAAATAATTTACGAGATATTTTATTTTTTATATCAAAATATGTCAGGTTAAGATATAAAATAACTCAAAAAGTACTTAATGAAAAAATACTTTATTATAGTGTTTGGAAAAGCTTTTGAGATAAG